ATGTTTAAAATAGAAATTAATCTGTTTCGGATGAATCAATAACTTATCTTTGATGATATCTGATGATAATACTATTCCCAGAGATATGCCCATTCTTCTCAAATCTTCACAAATCATTTAAATCATTCACTTTCTGTAAGTCATCAAAAATAGAAACAGTATTTCTGAAAGACTGCATATTAGTTATAGATTTCATAGAGTCCCACAGCTGTTTAGGATTAGACATACTCAGCTTCTTCTCCAGGAGTTCTTTATGTTTCGTCCTGGCATCTCTTAGTAATCCATTCAACTCCTTCTGAACAGCTCTCACTCCAAGACAATCATGACTGCGAAAAGCCAGTTTATTCCTGTTAATACAGTCTTTGATCTCTTTAGTTATGTAAGGTTTATTGTTAGCATAAATGATCACTTCCTTTTTGGGTATCACATTATCGGTGCAAATTTTAATATAATCTGTCATTACCATGGTAGTTTCATCAATATCATCACTATGGAAAACTTCCCAATCAGTGCAAAGAACGGCCACTTGATGGCCACTTGTGACTAGATCCTTCGCATTCATCCTCCTTTGCCAAACCGTGACAACTAATAGGTAATTGATCAATGAAATTAATTTTAAATATATTCTATTACTTTGAATGAAATAATCATGTTATTTTTAAATGTTATTTTATTGATTCAATGTCATTAAATGTAATGAAGAAAATACTTGCAGGGGTGCAGTGTCACACACACGTATAAGGAATGGTCTTCAAACTAATTTTAATTATTTAAATGAAATCTATCTATCTATCTGTCTGTCTATCTGTCTATCTGTCTGTCTGTTCGTCCGTCCGTCCATCCATCCATCCATCCATCCATCCATCCATCCATCCATCCATCCATCCATCCATCCATCCATCCATCCATCCATCCATCCATCCATCCATCCATCCATCCATCCATCCATCCATCCATCCATCCATCCATCCATCCATCCATCCATCCATCCATCCATCCATCCATCCATCCATCCATCTATCTATCTATCTATGTATCTATCTATCTGTCTGTCTGTCTGTCTGTCTATCATCTGTCTATCTATCTATCTGTCTGTCTGTCCGTCTGTCCGTCTGTCCATCTATCTATCTATCTAGCTATCTGTCTGTCTGTCTGTCTGTCTGTCTATCATCTGTCTATCTATCTATCTGTCTGTCTGTCCGTCTGTCCATCTATCTATCTATCTATCTATCTATCATCTGTCTGTCTATCTGTCCGTCTGTCTGTCAGTCTGTCTGTCTGTCCGTCCGTCCGTCCGTCTATCTATCATCTGTCTGTCTATCTGTCCGTCTGTCTGTCTGTCTGTCTATCTATCTATCAGCTGTCTGTCTGTCTATCCGTCTGTCTATCTATCTATAAATGTCAAGTAATTTTTGTCTAATATCTGCCCCAGTCACGTTTCTTTAGTTATCGTCCAATAAACCTTCCAGACCTCTGCCAGGTGTAATCTTCTCTAATCTTTTATCATTGTTGTTTTGTTTTAATTAAGCCATTATTTGTCGTTATTCTTGCATTATAATAATAGGCTACTTATCTCGTTCTTCTTTATTTCTGATTTTCTGATTACAGAAAAGGCTTGAAATTGAACAAAAGGAAATGTCACAGAAGTTTCTTGCCTTTAACATCTTGCAGGGAGGTTTCCAGAAAGAAGATGCAGAGAAACTGATCACACAAGAAATGGTGAATCATATTGAAAAGGACACAAAGTCCAGCAGCACAAGACTTCTCAGTTTTTTGGCTTTGATAAACTCGTATGTCCCAGGTTCACACTTGTTGAAGCTTGTCTGTGAGGATTTCATTAAAGAAGAAGAATGGCCCACTGATGAAGGAAAACCTTCGCTGGAAATGGTAATAAAGCCTTTCGAGGATCTCATAGTTATTTTCTCAGAAGAAGAACAAGAAGACCGATGCGTTCGTCTGGCTCATCCAGTGATTGCTGATGCCTGTCTAAAACGGTTCACTGAGCACAAACTGACCAGATCTGACATCGCTCTCGACTTCTTGAACAGCGTGGTGAAAGGAAAGGAGAGCAATTATGGACAGATTTGCAAGAAGATATTCATCACAAGAGTTGAGACAGGACAAGGAAAGGAGCTCAAAGGAAAGGAGCAGTTTTCCACACTGATTCTTGACATCATGCATGAAAGTGGAAATAATAATAACCAATGCATTCATTTGTTGGAGATGGCTGCAAATTTGTTCTCCACAGACCCTTATTATCCCCAAACACTTGCACGTTTTTATTACATTAAGGTAAAAGAGGACAACAAATATGAAAAGGCAGAAAAATGGGCAGAAGAGGCCATTAATCGAGATCCCAATAATTCTCGTATTAGGGACACATTGGGGCAAGTTCTCAAAAACCAACTGCTGAGTGAAACTAAAAATCCATCCTCAGACTTTGAAAAGTGTTTGGCCATTGCACAGTCTGCCACTGATGCATTTAAAAAAGAAGAGAAAGCAGCTGAAAATGACCCAGAAGACAACACCACATTCAATTATAGCGGGCTCTTGGGGTTCCTCCAGGTTTGCAAGATCATGAATGATACAATGTTTGCAAAATCATACGTGCGTCATAAACACTTAAATTACATCAGCGGTCTCAGAGGTGATGTTGAGTCTAGATATGATTTCTTTGAATGGTATCTGGCATTCTCAAGACCAAGCTTTGAAAAAGAGGACCCAGACTACATTCATAGAGATGTGGAAAATTGCTACAAGAAATATTTTAAACAGACAAGGCCGACAGATAAAACGACCCTGAATGAGAAAAAGATGAAGTCTTTTGGGGGACTGCTTCATTTCCTAAAATCAGACACCAATGTGCTTAAAGAACATCAGCGTGCACTTAAACATCCACAATCTGACAATCAAACCCAAACCGTTCTCTACATTCTTGCCAACATCGTCTTGAGTCAGTCGGGTGAGCAGTGTGAACAAGCAGAAGAGCTTCAGGCCAGGTTACAGAAACTTTGGCTGAGAGAAATGCAAGACAGAAGCCCAGAGTTTTATCTCTTGATTATTTTGCTCTTTTGGCCCGATGAAGCACAGCCAGGAATCACAAACCCTCCAAACCTTGAAAAGTGTCTCAAAAAAATGCATCATTCATACAAGGAGAAGTATCAGAAATACCTCCGCCGTCGCTACCTGGTGCCTCTGTTCTTCTTTGGGAAAGGAAAAGGTTTGGAGAGTCTGGTTCACACCTCAAAACTAGATCAAATTGCTCTGGAGCTCCTCACTGAAGGGGATGAACATGTAGAAATCAGTGCTTAAAGAACATCAGCGTGCACTTAAACATCCACAATCTGACAATGAAACCCAAACCGTTCTCTACATTCTTGCCAACATCGTCTTGAGTCAGTCGGGTGAGCAGTGTGAACAAGCAGAAGAGCTTCAGGCCAGGTTACAGAAACTTTGGCTGAGAGAAATGCAAGACAGAAGCCCAGAGTTTTATCTCTTGATTATTTTGCTCTTTTGGCCCGATGAAGCACAGCCAGGAATCACAAACCCTCCAAACCTTGAAAAGTGTGTCCAATACATGGGTCAGTCATATGAGAGAAAGTATCGGAAATGCCTCCGCCGTCGCTACCTGGTGCCTCTGTTCTTCTTTGGGAAAGGAACAGGTTTGCAGAGACTGGTTCATGCATTAAAACTAGATCAAATTGATCTGGAGCTCCTCACTGAAGGACATGGACATGCAGACGTCGAATGTCTTCAGCGTATCAACGGAGAGGTCAAGAATCAAGAAGTGTTTGCTGTTAGAGATGGCCAACAGATCCCAGTCACTCCTCACAATCCGTCCAGTGTGTGCAAACCAGGCCAGGTGTCTTTCTACCTGGGCTTCACCATCAGAGGACCAGTTGCCTACAACATCAGATATGAAGAGAACCGTAAGTACAGCAATACTTTATATTTCAGACTCATGACACACTGTCATATACGTCAAACATTTATCAGTAGTATTGAGTCAACTGTGTTTTCTTCTCAGTGACTCTGCAGAGATCACATGTGAACCGTGTGATTTAGTGCTCGAGCAGGTCACTGTGGGATGCAATGACTCAGACGGCTGATCCAGGACAAATGTTTACATGTCTTCTTAATATTTCTGTTTCTAAGCTCTGAAGAAAGGAAGGGGGGAGACAAGTTGATGATAATTATTAGTTATAAATAGAGTTCAGTCATGGTACATTGGTCACTTATTTTGAGAGAGAGAGAGAGAGAGAGAGACAAACCCTGTCAGTTGCCCTGACAGTCAACCTCCAAAAAACTAAAGTCATGATCTTCCAGAAACGCTCCAGATCTCAGGGACTAACACACACATTCACACTATCACACAGAACCATTGAAACCACAAAAACATACACTTACCTCGGCCTAAAAATTACTCCAACAGGTAACTTTACTTTGGCTGTGAATGAGCTCAAAGAGAAAGCTCAAAGGGCTTTCTATGCCATCAAAAGATCAATTAAAATTGACATCCCGGGTTCCGGTTTAGCGTCTACCATGTGAAGTCGCAAGGTCGGGAGCTCTGCAAACTGATTGCTATATTTACTTTCCACATAAGTTACAACGCATTTTAACCTACTCGTCACAGCTGCTAAATTGTTTTGAGGGATATATCTGAACTTTACGCCTCAATGTCGAAGGCTCCGCGACAGAAAAAGACTGACTCAGCGAACTCTAACGGATCTGCAGAGTCAGCCAAAGATGAAGCTAGCATAACTGATGGTGCTACAATAATGGCAGCGATTAAGTCCTTGGAAGCTGGAATTCACCAAAAGTTTGACGCGCATGCAACCAAGTTCCGAAAAGAAATATCATCCTTGCGAGAAGAGATGCACAATTCACTAACGGCGGTAACTTCAGAAGTGAAAGCGCACGAGGAGAGACTAACTACTTGAACCGACTGTGGCCTCCTTACGGAACGAGATTGCGGCTCTTCAGGCCAAGTGCACAGATCTGGAATGTCGCTCTCGCAGAAGCAATTTGCATCTTGTGGGTATTCCCGAGGGTATGGAGGGCACACAGCCCACAAAATTCATTGCAGAAGCACTGCAAGAAATATTCAGCCTCCGTGAACCCCAGCTTCTTGCCCGAGCCCATCGTAAGCTGGCAGCGCAACCCGCGGAGGGTCAGCGGCCACGGGCGTTTGTCATATGCTTTCACCGATTTGACGTCAAGGAGGATATCCTTCGGAGGGCCATTCAAGCTAAACAGCTCAAATTTAAAGACAGAACTGTCTATATTTTCCCCGATTTCCCTCCCGAGATCGCAAAAAAGAGGGCAGCTTATTACGACGTGAAACGACTGCTGAGGTCCAGATCTGATGTGAAATATGGGCTGAGAGGTCTAACCGGCTTTCGAATTACGCACGGCGGCATTGAGCACAAATTCGATACACCAGCTGAAGCGATGGACTATGTAAAACAGCACATAACGACCCCTTAAGAAAACTGGACATAAGCTGTTTGGCTGAGGTAACATTAACTGAAAGTTCAGCTGGTTTAAATAGCTGCCTGACTTCCAAACATCTATAACTGAAAAAAAAAGACTGTTTTGTTCTTACTAACTGGTTGGTTATAAGCCTGTTATAGGATTCATTATATACTACTTGCTCTGTTATGTTCAGTTAAAGGGAACTAATTTTCTCGGGAGTTCTCGCTGTGGTGCAATAGTAAAAATGAATAACTGAGAATAATGTAGAGTTAACCCCCCTCCCTTTTATTTATTTTATATTATTTTTTACTCTTTTATTGTTTAACGTCCTCCGCCGTCGCTACCTGGTGCCTCTGTTCTTCTTTGGGAAAGGAACAGGTTTGCAGAGACTGGTTCATGCATTAAAACTAGATCAAATTGATCTGGAGCTCCTCACTGAAGGACATGGACATGCAGACGTCGAATGTCTTCAGCGTATCAACGGAGAGGTCAAGAATCAAGAAGTGTTTGCTGTTAGAGATGGCCAACAGATCCCAGTCACTCCTCACAATCCGTCCAGTGTGTGCAAACCAGGCCAGGTGTCTTTCTACCTGGGCTTCACCATCAGAGGACCAGTTGCCTACAACATCAGATATGAAGAGAACCGTAAGTACAGCAATACTTTATATTTCAGACTCATGACACACTGTCATATACGTCAAACATTTATCAGTAGTATTGAGTCAACTGTGTTTTCTTCTCAGTGAAAAATGTAATGTCCTTGTCTCTGCAGAGATCACATGTGAACCGTGTGATTTAGTGCTCGAGCAGGTCACTGTGGGATGCAATGACTCAGACGGCTGATCCAGGACAAATGTTTACATGTCTTCTTAATATTTCTGTTTCTATGTTCTGAAGAAAGAAAGGGGGAAGACAAGTTGATGATAATTATTAGTTATAAATAGAGTTCAGTCATGGTACATTGGTCACTTATTGAGAGAGAGAGAGAGAGAGAGAGAGAGAGAGAGAGAGAGAGAGATTTATCTGTTGTACAGCCGCATTTATTTCAGTAGAAGCCAGAGAGCTGATTATTAATTATGCACAGTATGCAACTTTGAGATGTATCTGTTATTGTTTGATGTGTGGCTACATTTATTTCAATAAAAAGCAACATTACAATTTCACTTGCTGTCCCTCTGCATTCAGAATGTATCTTTAGCAAAGCAGTATACAACAAATCCAAACACAATTATGTCTCATCATCATTAGATTAGTGTTGTTCATAATCATAATCTTGTTCTGTGTTTAGTTGGACTTGCTGAAATCACAGACCAACGCAAACATTGTTCACCATTTATCTTGTTAGCCTAATGATGATGAATAAACTGAAATAAGTAACAATAAAGAAGATAATTAGCACTGAAACAAACACTGCCAGGTTGCCGGGTTAGGCTCATTTAATGAATTATATGATGTGAGAGTCTTCAAACACGACCAGCTTGTTCTATACGTCAAGGAAAATACTAATGTTCACGTTTATTAAAGCCACACAGATATCTGGAAATAAGATTGAATGCATCTACAGCTGAATGCCTGAAAACCAGATCTTGGCAGAATTTAACAAAGTACAAGTGCTTTGGCATTTTGACTTTAAGACCACGTTTTTGGCGAGAGGAAACTAAAATCCTTTTACATATTTCATGTTTACTATTGTGCTTTATCTAGAGCTGCTTTACATCAGAACTGAATGCTGTTTGCACCTTTGAGACATTATTTTCATGTGTAACACTGTAAAGCTGCTTTGACACACTGTACTGAATGAATAAAGGTGACTTATATCAAGAACATAATGTACAGTTGTGATTTTACAATACATAATATTTCACTTATTGTAAAATATCTGTTGTCCTATGAGCAATGAATGTGCTAACAGTGACGAGTCATTTATTGTTCAATAAGTTATAATATGTTACACTAGCTGTTAATTTGAACTGAAACAGATATTAATTGGTTTCAGAGCCACTGATGTAAACTAGTTGTGTACTCAAAGTTATACTTAAAAGTATACTTTTATATACTAGAAAGTGGGCCAATTTAGTCCCAAGGAGTATTGAAATAGTACACTTACAAGAATACTACTAGTACACTGCTATTTGTATACTTACTACATAAAGTATACTTACACATATACTTGAAATGTACTTAAGTATACTTAATAAAATAAACTACTATACTTTTTGGTAAGGGAAGTTAACTTTTCACAACTAATCATCTCAATAAATTGTGTTTATGCTACAAATTAAGTTATCTAACTTAGTGTAGTTTGTTGAACATAGAAGTTGTCATAAGATAACAAGTTAATGCAAAGTTTGTATTGAGCCAAAACATATGTTTTAAGAGTGCATTCTGCGGACTGGACAGAAAAAAATCAATAGCAAAACAATAAATACAGGCTATGTTCTGTACTGACTGTAGGTTTTTGATGCTTGTTATTTCAAGAAAATAATTACTAGTTATATATAAAGAACACATACAACTCGATTTATTTCAATTACGTTTGAGACACTTCAGAAAAACAGTATAATACTACAGTATTCACAAACACAAATGGCAATACATAACTGCACAGTGAATGGTACACTGTAAATATTAGCTCTGATTCTTCCATCTTTTCTCTCTGCTGCTTAGCTCTCTTGTGCTGCTGGAGGGTTTTGCTCAGGATGAAGGCCTTGGAGCAGAGTCTCTCGCCGGTGTGGAAGCATCTGTGTCTCCTCAGGGTTCGCTTGTAGATCCAGATTTAGTCACAAACGCTGCAGACGTGGAATCGCTTGGACTGCCTCTGCAGTATCTCAGGCCTCTGGAGTTGCACAGAGCAGGGTCTTAAAGGAAGATCGGACAGAGATACAAGACGGCTCAGTGTTATCTGACTAAAATATGATTGAAAAGCCTCTTCTGGTTCAGCGCTTCAGGATCGATGACTGTGTTAATGCATTCAAAGCTCATAAACAGCTGGCAATCTCCAGATGTTACTCCGACTTCAATGTGCTGTGAAAGAAACGTATGATTTTCTCTATGTGCATTCAATCAATGCCACTGATTATGCTTAATTTTGTTAATCTCACATGTTGTGCATTGAAGACTCAGATACATTGCCCTTTTATTTATTATTGTATTCTATCTTGCTGTGATGCTTCAAATTTAATCCACAAACGACTTATGAATAATGGCTCTTTCTGTAGTCAATGTCAGCAGTCCTGGGAAAGTTTAGGGAGTCAGTCAAACATATTTGCATGCGTCAGGTGGGAGTACTATGGGCTGTTGAGAAGAAGCAGTTTAACAGATCAGGACAAACTAGAAACTCAACCATCAAACCAGATGAACAGGACAAACAAGACACTCATGAACAAGCTTCACAAAACATAAAAACACTCCAGTTACTGACGTAAGATGACCAAACGTCTTCTATTACTACTGCCACAGTACACTTTTCAATTAATGTAGTTAAATCAAGTATTTTTAGGTTTATAACGGGTCTGGTTATCATCTTATTGATGAACAGGAATTGTAGTTTGCGAGCTGCAAATCAAGCCGATCTCATGAAAATGCATATCAATAGCATGGTTTTGGGTTTCTATTTGGCATACGCTGCTATTTATACGCAGAAATTGAGTTTGGCGTGCTTGAGATACACAGACATGAACAAATCAGTCTTCAGTATCAGAATAAACAGAGTTTCCTCATGCATTCACACAACGGGATATCAATAGGAAACTAGTGTTAGTGTCAGAATAAGACTGGGGATATTT